AGTTTCCAAGAAAACTTTCAAAAAGGCATTGAAAAGGCATGTGGAAGAAACCAATGCTTAGGTAAAGCACATTTTATTATAACATAGCTAGACACTTCTAGGATTTAAACCATGAGGACTCGGTTGGTGCACTGTAATGCACACATACATACATACACACACACCGACCACCGACGGGTCAGACGCACCTGGCGCTGCTCAGCTGCAGCCACGTCAACTGTTATGTTGGCCCATACCAACTCCCTCCCCTGAACCCTCCTCCCCACCGGAATATCAACAAGTTCTCGCCAGAAGTTACTATTTCATTTGGGAAAGGAATGGAACCAGTGTTGAATAGTGGTGAACAGTGCTTAAATCAGTGAAAAACAACTCGGCAGTTGAGTCTTACCCAAGCTAACCTACACACAGTGAGGTCCCAGAGAAGCCTGGGACCACACCTCACCCACTTGAGTGAGTGAAGTCCTGTGACAACCGACCACGTGGTGTCCCCATGATGCTACGACACCACATAGTGAATGAGTTGCTACAGCATCATGTGAAGTTCCTCATAACACCATCTGTGAAGGAATTACTACACCACGTGATGCCCCTCATAACACCATCTGTGAGGGAATTACTACACCATATCAGGCCCCTCATACACCATCTGTGAGGGAATTACTACACCACAGCAGGCCCCTCGTAACACCATCTGTGAAGGAATTACTACACCACGTCAAGCCCCTCATAATACCACCTGTGAGGGAACTAGTACTCCACGTGATGCCCCTCATAACGCCATCTGTGAGGGAGTTACTACACTACGTGTCTGTTGTTCAACACCTCAGCTTACATGATCTACGTGTGTAAACATTAATCTGTATGTTCACAGTATGTTCCTTCACCTTTCTCCAATGAAGGCTTCTGTTAAACCACCAATGTTTGTAATAAGTCATTTGTGTCCAATGTATATTTTCAGCCTTCGGGCTGCAAACTTTTTCAATAAACCGTTTATTATTAGTATTATTATTACATACATACACACACACACACACACACACACATATATATATATATATATATATATATATATATATATATATATATATATATATATATATATATATATATATATATATAAAAAAAATAAAAAAATATATATATATATATATATATATATATATATATATATATATATATATATATATATATATATATATATATATATATATATATATATATATATACCTAGACCCCGACTTACAACTGCTTCGACTTACGGCCGTCGAGACTTACGACCGCCTCAGATTTTTTATTAATTTTTTTTTTCTTCAAATGACACGCATTTTCTATACCGAAACGTTTCCAGTTAATGTAGTCTCCATGTATAATTAGAAAATTATGGGGGCCCCATGTGCATTCAGCTGACTACATTAAAGGTAAGTGCTCAGTCACACTGTAACCATTCCTTATTATTTATTACTTTCACTGTACTGTATCCATTCCTCATTATTCATTACTTTTACTGTACTGTATTTCATTGTAGATTATTTATTTAAAAAAAATTTTTTTTTTATCTATGTCGGACTTACGACCATGTCGGACTTACGACCATGTCGGACTTGCGACCTGGATTTGGGTCCCTAACCCCGTCGTAAGTCGGGGTCTAGCTGTACAGTATTACCCCACCTAACGCGGTTTCACTTAACGCGTTTTATCATATACGCGGTGCCTCGCCAGAGCTGAACTTTCACTTAACACGGATTTTTTCCACATATACGCGGTGAGTGTCCGGCTCGAGACGCTATTTTTAGATTTGCCCCACCCGCCACCCTGCCTGACTGCCTGTTTTAGCTCATAAAATTCATACAAATTACATTGCAGGAATTCTTATAATTTGGTGATCATTTTGAATATAAACATCATATATTTTGCATTAGACATACAAATTTTAGATAAAATGTTTTCTCTAGTAAATATGTTATCTTTTGTGCAAAATATATGACATTTATATTCAAAATATTCCTGGTCTTACAAGGAATCCAGCAATGTCAATTATATTATCCTAACTTTAGTTTGAGGTATTATTTATTAAAATTTAGTGGTTTTCCCACACATCTCCTTGGGACGGTTGGTGGGGGGTGGGGGGAGGGAGGGACCGACCGACCATCTGTTACCCCGTGAAGAATATTTTTTTTTTTTATTAACTGAAGATATTTGTTTTAGCTCATAAAATTCATACAAATTACCCGGTCAGAATATAATTTACATTGCTGGAATTCTTATAATTTGATGATCATTTTGAATATAAACATCATATATTTTGCATTAGACATACAAATTTTAGATAAAATGTTTTCTCTAGTAAATATGTTATCTTTTGTGCAAAATATATGACATTTATATTCAAAATATTCCTGGTCTTACAAGGAATCCAGCAATGTCAATTGTATTATCCTAACTTTAGTTTGAGGTATTATTTATTAAAATTTAGTGGTTTTCCCCCAAAAATTTCTCAGAGAGGGAAGAGCCAGCAGTGTAGTGTGAGAAGAGGGGAGGGAGTTGAGTCCATTATTTGAATGGACATTAACTTGGCGACTGTATTTCTCTATTTCTCTTAAGTATTAATTGTGTGCATGTACCATCATAAAATTAAGATGTTATTTTTACTACAACATAGTTATGTGTCTTCAAAAAGTGGAGTTTGGGGGTCGGGCTGGTTTCTATTGGAATTAATCCCATATGTTCTGTTGTTCACTTAACTCGGATTTCACTTAACACGGGACCCTCTGGGTTCTATTGACCACCAATAAAGCACTCGGACTTCTACACATAATCAACACCTCACCCCGCCAGGATTCGAACCCACGGCCCACGAGCCCATGACTGTGTCCGGGGAACACCACCTCTGGACCACCAGGATACTAAAAGCAGTCCTAGACTGTTATATTTCACACAAAGCCTGTTCAACGAGCTTATGGCGCCGTGAACCTCTAATGGGGACTACCCGTATCACGTAGGTGGTCAGAGTAACGTTTTACCAAATCCGGCTTCGAAACACGAGGATCCATATATATTTCATTAGCCCAATAAAGCACGCGGACTTCTACACATAATCAACACCTCACCCCGCCGGGATTCGAACCCCCGCCCACGAGCCCATGACTGTGACCGGGGAACGCCACCTCTGGACCCCCAGGATACTAAAAGCAGTCCTAGACTCTGTTATATTTCACACAAAGCCTGTTCAACGAGCTCATTATTCAGTTGAGAGTTCATATTTGGAGCTGGCGGATGTCCGTCCTACTAGAGGTCACAATTTAAGGTTGAAGAAGCCACACAATCAGAAAATTGGCAGGGCGAACTTTTTCGGGGCGATAGTTATGAACTCTTGGAACAATCTGCAAGAGAATGTTGTGACGACACCAAGAGTGAGCTCATTGAAGACCAGACTTGGCCAACACTAACGCAGGTAAACATACTTTCTGGAGCTTGTACAGTACATGTCCAGTACTTACCTACAATGTGTAACAGAGACGTGTCCGACCGCCCCAAGCGATAAAGAGAATAAAGTAAAGTAAAGTAAACTGAATTATGCCAGTCACACCACTCATGCTTCAGTCACACCACTCATGCTTCAGTTACACCACTCATGCTTCAGTCAGACCTCCCATCGCACTGTCACATCACCCATGCTTCAGTCACACCACCCATGGTACCGTCACACTACCAACCAACCATACCACAGTCACACCACCCATGCTTCGGTCACACCACCCATGCTAGAGTAACACCACCCATGTTACAGTAACACCACCATGCCACAGTAACACCACCCATGCTACATTAACACCATCCATGCTACAGTAACACCATCCATGCTACAGTAACACCACCCATGCTACAGTAACACCACCCATGCTACATTAACACCATCCATGCTAGTAACACCATCAATGCTACAGTATCACCACCCATGCTACAGTAACACCACCCATGCTACAGTAACACCATCCATGCTACAGTAACACCATCAATGCTACAGTAACACCATCCATGCTACAGTAACACCATCCATGCTACAGTAACACCATCAATGCTACAATAACACCATCTGTGCCACAGTAACACCATCCATGCTACAGTAACACCATCCATGCTACAGTAGCACCACCCATGCTACAGTAACACCATCTGTGCCACAGTAACACCATCCATGCTACAGTAACACCATCCATGCTACAGTAACATCACCCATGTTACAGTAACACCATCCATGCTACAGTAACACCATCTGTGCCACAGTAACACCATCTATGCTACAGTAACACCACCCATGCTACACTAACACCACCCATGCTACAGTAACACCAGCCATGCTACAGTAACACCATCCATGCTACAGTAACACCATCTGTGCTACAGTAACACACTGTGCCACAGTAACACCATCCATGCTACAGTAACACCACCCATGCTACAGTAACACCAGCCATGCTACAGTAACACCATCCATGCTACAGTAACACCATCTGTGCCACAGTAACACCATCCATGCTACAGTAACACCATCAATGCTACACTAACACCACCCATGCTACAGTAACACCAGCCATGCTACAGTAACACCATCCATGCTACAGTAACACCACCCATGCTACAGTAACACCATCCATGCTACAGTAACACCATCCATGCTACAGTAACACCACCCATGCTACAGTAACACCATCCATGCTACAGTAACACCAGCCATGCTACAGTAACACCACTCATGCTGCAGTAACACCAGCCATGCTACAGTAACACCATCCATGCCACAGTAACACCATCCATGCCACAGTAACACTATTCATGCCACAGTAACACCATCCATGCCACAGTAACACCATGCCAACACCATCCATGCCGTAACATCATCCATGCCACACCATACACCATTCATGCCACAGTAACATCATCCATGCCACAGTAACACCATCATGCCACAGTAACATGCCATTCATGCCACATTAACACCATCCATGCCACAGTAACACCATTCATGCCACAGTAACATCATCCATGCCACAATAACACCATTCATGCCACAGTAACATCATCCATGCCACAGTAACACCATTCATGCCACAGTAACACCATTCATGCCACATTAACACCATCCATGCCACAGTAACACCATTCATGCCACAGTAACATCATCCGTGCCACAATAACACCATTCATGCCACAGTAACACCATCCATGATACCTACAGTATATTGACTAGTAAAGGCTCTTTTTTTTTTTTACCATAAAAGATTTAATGGATACATAGTGCGTTAAATAAACGGCTATGTGGAATTTGTCTTATCTACGTGGCGGCATTCAACGTGCTGGTAGCCTATCTAATCAACGGTAGAGTGAGTTGAGCAACGCCCCACGGCCCGCGCTTAACGCTAACCAGTCATGAGAGACGTCACCACTATCCCTCGCCTTTTCACCAGAGCGGCGTGTTTCAACTTTGCCAACTTCATATTACCATGTACCGTCACCACTACTGACAGTGTAACTCACAAAATATCTGGCCTCGAAAAAGTATTTCTAAGGCCAATTTAACACAAGGGACGGTGGTTCAGGGGGCGTGAGGTCATGTACACCCAGGAGGGAGGTGGGAACTGATATTGAAGGTAAGTGCACTCGCCGCTGTAGAACATATTTCTGCCTAACCAGAATCATAGAGCCTGTAGGACTAAAAATAGAAATAAACTTCAGGTGAAGTATCTTCACTCATTACGTTATTTTAGTTCATCCGGTGGGAAATATTTTGTATAGCATTTTTGCCGTTTACCGGCATGTTTTAATGTGTGATATATATTTAACCCAGGCTGATACCCCGCTGCCGCAACTATATTCTGCATAGATAACGGGTAACGCCAGGTGAATGCCGAAATCTGAATGGCCAACCTTTCTGAGCCGATGTGTACCTTTTTGCTGATGATATGGAGAAGTTCGACACATTGAGTCTGACCTGGACCATATTCATCCTCAAATGGACTGTCACAACATCCAGATGGTTACTCTGTTTTTCACTTAAACAATTGTAAGGTGATGACTATATGAAGATCAGCATTAAGTGCTATAATTATGAAGAAAAAGAATGAGCTAAAACGAAGTGCAGGAAAGACTTGTGTGTGACGATTTATAGTACGTACCGCACCACTAGCTATGGTCCTGGCCTGAGATACATGTGGGAAGGATGTTATCCAGTGTGACCCTACCAAACATCGCAGGTATCCTACTGTACTAACACAGTGACACTGGACTATAAACTTCATAACAAAATTACAAAGAAAAGACCAACCACCCAAACGGCTAGTAAACTGATAAGCGGCGAAATCATAAATTATAAACGATAGACTTAACAAGGCTGGTGAGCAAGATGATGGATCTGGTCCAGCTGTCACTGACTCAAATGTGCAAACTTTTAGTTGGTTGTACAAGGCAGAGCTCCCCGGAGCCTTACTATGAAGGACGTCCACACGATTGAGTTTTTAGAAGACGGCGACAAAATTGTTATTCGAAGAAAACACGCACCTCAGCTCAAACATGTACACCACTAAATAATTATTCGGCACCCGTGTCCTATTGTATCACGCCGTAAGGGTGCCGCATAATTTTTTACTGGGTGGACATTAATAAAGAAGTATTATGTACAGTAATGTTGTACACCAAACATTACTGTATACCCACTAAAAAATTATTCGACACCCTTACGACGTGATACAATATAACACGGGTGCCGAATAATTTTTTAGTGAGTGTACATAGATAGTGTAGGTATACAGCTCAGCATGTGTATCGACGATGTAAATATACAGCTCATCATGTGTATAGACATTATAGGTAAACAGCTACGCTTATGTAAAGACAGTGTAGGTATAAAGATCAGTATGTATTTAAAGAGTAGGTATACAGATCAACATGTGTATAGAGCCTATAGACAATGTAGGTATACAACTCAGCATGTATATAGATAATATAGGTATACAGCTCAGCATGTGTATAGACAGTGTAGGTATACTGCTCAGCATGTACAGTATATAGACATCATAGGTCTACAGCTCAGCATGTATATAGATAATATAGGTATACAGCTCAGCATGTCTATAGACAGTGTAAGTGTACAGTTCTGCATGTATATAGACAATGTAGGTATACAGCTCAGCATGTGCATAGACAGTGCAGGTATGCAGCTCAGCATGTATATAGATAGTGTAGGTATATAGCTCAGCATATGTATAGACAGTGTAGGTAAACAGCTCAGCATATGTATAGCCATTATAGGTATACAGCTCAACATGTATATAGACATTATAGGTATACAGCTCAACATGTATATAGACATTATAGGTATACAGCTCAGCATGTGTATAAACAACGTAGGTAAAGAACAATATATGTGTTCTGTACATACACCGTGCAGGTACTTTTTACTTTTATTCTCTTCGCCACCTATCGGCTCGTGTACTAGGCATGCACTGGCTCCTGAATGTATCAGAACCCACTCCAGTGTTGGTCATTTCTGGTCTTGAAAGAACTCACACTCGGTGCCGTCACAACGCTCTCCGGTAAATTGTTCCAAGAGTTCACAATTCTCACTTCAAAAAGATCAACCTTGAACTGTGAGCCCTTGTGAGCCCTTGTGGGGCGGGCGTCCACCAGCTCCAGGTATGGATACTCGACTGCGTAGTGCCCTTTGAGATGTTTATACACCTCAATTAGGTCCCCCTTTGCCTGTCTGTAGTATAAGCTATGCCGTTGCATGCGTTCTAATCTCTCTGGATAACTGAGTTAGACTTATTCAATCAAGTGACAGCCCCTAGCAAATCTCAGGAACCAGACAGACAGTACTGAAGGCGGGGAAACACCTCACTCATGAAGATCGTAAGTAGGTCTTATAAGAAGGTCGTTCAGATATCTAGACGAACTGATCGACCTTATAAGCCCTACTAGTTTAGTTGCTTGATTCACCTTCTTTTCACAATGGCCCGAGAACTTCAGTTCATTGTCAACATACACACTTAGGTCCTTCTCGCATTCGGTCTCCATTAATGCAGCAGTTTCTTCGTCCTGTTGGGACATAGCGCCTCCTTACAATTGGTGCGACCCAGGTGCACCCTCTTACACTTCGTGACATTGAATTTTAGAAGCTATTTCTTCGACCACTCTTGAAGCTCACAGAGATCTTTCTGCAGCTCTTCGCAGTCTGTTTGGTTTTTAATTTCCCTGGTGAACTTGGCATCGTCGGCAAACATTTGTATGGGCGAGTGTATAGCTTCCGACATGTCATTTATGAAACAAACAAACAAAAACGGGCCCAATACACTGTCATGTGGTACCTCTCTTTCACGGGTACATATGATACAACCAGTGTACAGTACCTAGACAGTGCGGGTATATAAACAATGATAAAAAGTTAGGGAATTCGACCAAGAGTTAGCCAACAATGACACCATATATAATAACTCTCCTCACCATGAATCCAACTGAACACTTGCTTTACTTACAGATGTTATGGAAATGACCATGACTGACAGGTGAGCAACACGGGCAGCAAGAATAGAAACATAAGCAACAATAGAAGAAAGGTGCAACAGGAATATCCACAACGGTAGTTAAGATGGACTTTGTGAGCTGGGTGGTGGAGGGTGGTCCTTTAGTGGCGGTGTTCCTGCTGGTGACGCTGATGCCTCTTACCCCTGCCCTCACCACCATTACCAATTCCCTCTCCACAGTCACCCACTCCCTCACCCCCGCCCTCACCACCGTCACCCACTCCTTTATCCCCCAGCATGCAAACAAACTATACAAGAGAGTGCAAAAGGCTGGCCAAAAAATTGTATGTGATGTTGTGCGAGAAATATACGCGAGTGATCGGATGAACACTGCAAATGGAATGATACCTGTTGCTGAATACTGCAAATTGATAAACATCAATCCAGTGTTTGACGAGAGGCATCAACATATCTTGATGTGCAACATGATGGAAACCGACTTTGATGTTTTCTTCGGTTATGATGTTCTGAGTAAAGTGTGTGTCCATGTGTATGATGAATTGAGTGCTGAATGTAACGATGATATCAGCAAACTGTGCGAGTTAGTGGTCGAAGAAGTATCAAGTAAGACTGATATATCGTCAAGTGTGGAGAGCCTAAGGCGCACGCAAAGAGATATTTATAAATGCATCAGTCAAGTTCTCCAAAAAGATTTTAGTCAAAACCTAGCAGTAGCAGAAGCGATGCTAAATTATATTTTAGAGACAGATTTAAAGTGTAATGAGATATATATAGCAGAGGAAAGTGGCATTTCAATATCTAACAACACATCTCCACTGGTCAGTAAGTGTTACTGGGAACTGTCTGAACGTTACGAGAAACTGGGAGACCTCAACCCCCGCACCTGGATGACCAGAGAAAATGACGCCACGATCAAAGATTCCAGTGTCGAATATTTCCAAACAGAGAAAATATTCACGCAACTGAAAATTTTGGAGGGCAAGAGAGTAATTGATATGAAAGATCTTCTAAGTGTAACGAGGAAGGTGTATGGAGAGGTGAAGGTTCCTAAGGCGCTGTTACTCCATGGTCTGGCTGGATCAGGCAAGACCTCCTTGTGTCGCTACCTCGTCCATGACTGGCGGAAGGGAGGGAAAGAGATAAGCGCTCTTTGTCATTTTGATCTTGTTTTCTTTGTGGAAGTGCGTAGAGTCCGTTCAAATCGTCTTAGAGAATTTTTTAGAGATGAGTTAATGCCAACTACCTGCATAGGACTGGAGTCTGAGAACATCATCCCAGCACTGAAGGAACTAGACATAATCTTCGTCATCGATGGTTACGATGAAACGGATAAAGTTTCCTCTGAACTTTTGGAAGACATTTTCGCCAAATTTGGGGAGAAGCGCATTATCATGACCACCCGACCTGAGCTACACATGGATGCTGTTTGCATGGCGAGGAGACATGAGGTTGATTATATGTCTCTGGAGGTGTGTGGGTTTGATGTTGACAAGTGCCAGGAGTTCTCAAAGAAAGTATTCAGTATTATGGAAGAGAATGAGACGGAATGCAGTAACCAGACAAGAGAATTCTTGGAGTGCATCCACGAGCGTGGGAAGCTCTTGGGCAAATACCTGACACTTCCATTAACTACAGCTCTACTCATACTAAGTTGGAGACATAATCCCGAAGTTGTGAACCCGTCGGCCACAGCCACACGCATCTACCAGGAATTTTATCATCTTCTCCATAAAAAACTTGCCGAGCGCTTGAGTAAAGACTTCATTGGTGTCAGCGAGCTGCCGGACATACTGGACGGTTTATTGCTCTGTCTTGGTGAGCAAGCTTGGACTATGGTTAAAGAAGAACTATCCACAGTACCAGATACCCTCCAAAAGAAGATCGAGATTGAATGTGAAGCGAAGAGAATCAAAGTAGTTGAATTACTGTCAGGCTTCCACATGTGCCATCTGCCTGACGACCCTGATGTGTGGAAGCTGAAGGTGGCCTTCCTGCACAGCTCTCAGAGGTGTTATTTTGCTGCCACGTTCCTGGCTCACTGTCTGCATAAAAAGTTATTGAAGATTCAGGATATTGGAAATCAAGTAAATGCTTGCCTAGGTCTTGAGCAAGTCCTCCTGTTCCTGACGGGTCATTTAGCCCTCCAGAACAACCTTGCCACTTCGACAGTCAATGATATTTTTAATGTCTTAAAGAAAATCGATTTTGATCCCCAAAACTTTGATTTTTGGTGGCATATGTTTGTGGAGAGTCATAGACACCCTCAGGTTGGTGCAATTATTGCCAGGGATAAACTTCCACATAAACATTGGCAGTTGGACGATGCGAATGTCGTCTCAGCTCTCAAACTTCTCAGTTTTACCCCAGTTCGACTCATGAGTCTTTCAATTGACATTCCCAGCACGAAGGAGCCTCACGAAATCCCTAGTTTCCTCCAAGTGCTACAAGAAGTGGGTCAACACCTGAGAAAACGACAAAAAAAAAATGTAAAAGTGGAACTGCATCTTCGAAAACATGTTATGTATGACCAAAAGACCTCTGACGACTTTCTGCGGGCACTGGAATCCTGGAGTGACCTGACCAGCTTTAAAGGAAGCTTTGGAGAGCAACCAAAAGGAGAGGAGCTATTGGTGGGCAGCTCCAGTCTCAGGACAATGCAGATCAGGGTAGCCACCTTAGGAGCCTTTACATCTCTCAGCAACGGCCTCCGAAAGATTTGCAAGAGCGTCAGAAGTCTCCACGTCACCTTGGCTCTACTTCATGACTGTACAGTGGAATCACTCTCGGAGCTGAGGCACAACGGGAACTTGGAGCTCACCCTGATGGCCATGAAGGACCGTCAGAAGGAGTGGCTGGTGTCAGTCGTTAAAACAGTAGGAGGAAGGTATATGATGGCTGTCGGTCCTACTACTTTGACATACTCGTATCATTAACCATCAGGTGCAGCAATTAAGTTACATTAGGTTACTTTATAATTATTTCATCCTGCAAATTATGACGATCATCTGAAGATTAGCCCCAGCTTATTTCACCTTGATTAATCAACCTAACACTAACCTAGCCTAACCCAACCCAACCCCCCAAGTAGCGTTAAGGTTGGTTATTCGATATTATTATCGTTTCGGTCATCCAGTGAATTTATATTTTTCGAGTATTTTAACCGATAAAATTACCAAAAATATTATTTGTTCAAAGTGGGCAGGGCTTTGAAGTAGAGGGAAAATGTGGGGAACAATACAATAAAAATAACACCAAACAAACCTTTCAAAACTTTACTAAACGTTTCCTAACTTGTAACAAAGTTAAGAATCACTTTAGAGTTTATGGGTCCCCCTCATCTGAACAATGAAAACAACACCAGCACATACTGAAAATAAAAAAAACACCACCACTTACTAAACACCGAAAACATGAATATGGCAAGATTTTTTATAATTTTAATATTTTTAAAGGTTAGGAAATGTTAGGTCAGTTTTTCAAAAGTTTGTGTAGTGTATTTTTAGTATTTTATCCCACATTTTCCCTCTACTTCAAAGCCCTGTCCTCTTTAATTTACAAGTAATATTGTTGGTAATTTTATCGATTAAAATACTCGAAGCATAAATTTCCGACGGAAACGCTAAGAAAGAAAATCTCTTAAAATTGTCCAAACTACTGATTCCAAAATTTGAAATCCTAAAATTTGCTATATAACAGAAACAATAATTTTACCAGTTATTCTTCGGGAGAAACAAGCTGGGTGATCTTCAGGTGGTCTACGCACGCTTGCTGGGTGGAACACATAATATGACAGGCATTAAATCAATTATCGTTAAGTACCTGACATCCATTAGTCAGTTAAATTAAACATAACATAGCATAAAAATTATTCACTTTAACTTCATACGTTTATTTAACTTCATTTAGCAAACAAAGCAACAAGTATAACAGTCTTTTCTCATACATTCTCTACTTTAATTTTTTATCTAAGTGAACGTTTTTAGTTAAGAATAAATTATCTATTTGCGTTGAATAAATTTAAATCAGCTTATTAATAGGGTTTGATTTAGCTCTGTATAGTTGGAAATGGAGTGAAGTTAAGTTAGATTTAATTAACTCTGATATGGTTAGTGTTTGTGATGATGTTTCTCTTCCCCTAAATTAGAGGTGGATGCTGGCGCTTGAATCTACAGGACAGCGAGATGACCTACGGAGGCGTTGAGTGGGTCGTCACGCAGCTCAAGGGATGCATCCACGACAAGATATCCATCGAAACTATAAGCTAATGAGATACTGATATCGAAAGAGTTTATTTAGCCAGAAAAATACAGATACAGAGTGGATAATAATAACAATATTAACATGGCTGAACCGGTAAAGAGCATGAGTTCTCTTGAAGGCACCTGATATACTGTATATTGTGCATTCATCTCAAGGAAATATCATGTAACATTTAGTATCATCTGGAATAGTACCCATAGCATGGTGATAGAAAGAACACATCAGAATGTTACCACGGTTATCACTTCGCTACTTATTTTTTTTTTTTTTTTACATCTATATTAGAATATATACATATTTTACAGTGGATTTGATATCTGGGTTGTATTAAGGTGGAACAAGAGGACAAAGATGTCAGTATGTCTTGTCGGCAAATATGATAATTGCAATGATAATATCTATCTACTTGACAATTTCTGATATAATGGTTTTGGTGGCATCTTCGTGGTGTAGATTAAGATAATCTTTTTTTTTCTATTTTTAATTTACTTTTACTTTTATTTTTTCGCCCCTCCCCTAGGCCCCCTTGTGGGTCGATGACCTGTGCCTTGGTTGGCTATTCCCTGTAAAAAAAATCCTTTTTTTTTAGAGATGATTTAAAGGAAGAGAGCGTAGTCTTTGGTCGGATGGGTGGAGCGCACCAGGGTGGTCTTAGTAGCTCTGGCCCTCTGGGTGTCTTAAGGTGTATCTCTGATTATTCCGGAACTGGAAATAATTATTGTCAATCAAGTGATTGACAGATTTGTAAACAAATAGAACACAACAGTAGGTGCTAATATCCTCGTGTTTAATAACTTCAATTTAGCAAATTGTTCAATAGTATGATCAGTTTTTTTTCAAGTAGGTCATTGTCTTCACAACTCTCTTCTGTGCAGTGATCAGGGGTTGTGTTTTTGTAGAGCCAGAGGCCTTCATAGTGTGTGACAGTGCATCAAGTGTTGGTAAAGAAGATTATAATATGTTTTCTTTCATTGCTGCAAGAGTGAGTGACTGTCGAGTGTGATACATGATACCGCACTGTTTATTGACTTTACTGTGAATGGCTTGTATGTGGTTTCTCCAGTTAAGTTTCTCATCAACAATAACCCCAGGAAATTTAGTATTTTGTTCACGTTTGAGAACTGTATTACTAAGGTACAGGGGGTCCAAGTCTGGGGATAAGTTTTTCCTTCTGTGAAAGATTGTGTAGTGGGTTTTTTCGAGGTTTCAGGTCAATTTATTACGTGTTACTCAGATCCTGACTTTAGTCAATTCAGTGTTCATAGTTCTCGTCAAGGAATGGAAATCTGAGTTGCTGGAATAGAGATTACTATCGTCTGCATATAAATTACATTTGACGAATGTGCTGGAGTGGACTATATCATTTATGTACAACAAGAACAGTACAGGACCGAGAATGGAAACTTGAGGGACGCCATACAAAATTGGTGAAGAGTCAGATAGATGACTATTATCAAACGATGAGCAAGACAGGAGGATGTATGCAAGAGCCAGAAACCAAACAAAGATAGAGTGTAGGAGGGCTGAAAAGGAGTTCCAGAGGCTGGTTGCAAGCGAGGTCAAGTCAAACCCAAAGGCGTTTTACCGCTATGCAAAGTCGAAATTGAAAACGCGAGTAGGAGTATCAGACCTGAGGCTGGTGGATGGTAGTTACGTAGATTCTGACCAGGATAAAGCTGAGGCATTGAACAGCTTCTTTTCCTCAGTGTTCACAAGAGAGGATGCAACTAACCTTCCTGCGTTTGAGGACAGACGGTTCGACACAGCACTGATCCACATTGTGTTCACAGAAGAGGGTATTAGAAATAAACTGTCCAGGCTAAAGGTCCATAAGAGTCCCGGACCTGACATGGTGCATCCTAGAGTGCTAAGAGAGCTGTGCAACGAGCTTGCAGAGCCCCTGAAGATCCTGTTTTGTAAATGCCTGGATGAACAAATGGTCCCCAGTGAATGGAAGGTGGCTTATGTGAGTCCTATCTTCAAGAAGGGCGATCGTCACTCCACGAACAACTATAGACCGGTGAGCCTGACCAGCATGATATGTAAAGTACTTGAGAGTATTATCAGAGATGCCGCAATGGAACATCTAATACGAAACAACCTTGTAAAAGATTGCCAACACGGTTTTATGCCGGGGCGCTCCTGCTTAACACAATTGCTCATGGTATTGGATATTTGGACCCATATTCTGGAACGGGGTGGTAATATCGACAATATTTACCTAGATTTTGCCAAGGCTTTCGACAGTGTACCCCACGAAAGGCTGAAAATCAAACTGGAAGGGTACGGAATTCGGGGAAATGTCCTAGCGTGGATTGAAGACTTTCTACATGACCGCAAGCAGTGTGTGGTGATTAATGGTACGAAATCGTCATCTGTACCTGTCACAAGTGGGGTACCACAGGGCAGTGTATTGGGCCCGCTGTTGTTTGTTTGTTTCATAAATGACATGCCTGACGTTGTACACTCCTCCATACAAATGTTTGCCGATGACGCCAAGTTATTTCGGGAAATTAAGAACCAAGCGGACTGTGAAGAGCTGCAGAAGGACCTCTGTGGGCTCCAGGAATGGTCGAAGAAATGGCTGCTGAGATTCAATGTCACGAAGTGTAAGAGGATGCACCTGGGGCGTACCAACGGTAAGGAGGCGTATCATATGTCCCAACAGGATGAAGAAACTGCACTATTTGAGACCGAATGTGAGAAGGACCTAGGTGTGTACAGTATCACGCCGTAAGGGTGCCGAATAATCTTTTAGTGGGTGTACATGTATGTATCGTGCATGTGTGTGTGTGTGTACTGTATACCCACTAAAAAATTATTCGGCACTCTTATGGCGTGATACAATAAGACAGGGGTGCCGAATAATTTTTAGTGGGTGTACATGTATGTATCGTGCATGTGTGTGTGTGCGTGTGTGTGTATACCCACTAAAAAATTATTCGGCACTCTTATGGCGTGATACAATATGACACAGGTGCCGAATAATTTTTTAGTGGGTGTACATATAATACATGTAGAGTTAACGCTATCCTGAATGCGAGATCTCTCTTATTGTACGTGTGTAGTGGCCATAACAAGAGAAAATTGACACATAACAAAGAGAATTTAGACTACTGCGCCACATACGCTGCGCTACAATAGTAATAACAATAATAATAATACTAATAATAAAGACATACAATAATGAAAAAAAAAGAGATCAAGAGTGAGAAACAATATACAGTATGTATGTTTTTTTTTTGTTTTTTTTCGGGCATTAGCCCACCCGGCAGAGGTCACTAACCCACATCAGGGCCTGGGGGGGGGGGCGAAAATATAATAATAATAAATATTAATAATACTAGTAATGTCTATCATTTTTATTATTACAACAATTAATAAAATCAATTAATAAAATTAAGAGCAAACGAATAAAATTAAAAATTAAAGGATCACCTGAAGAATCATCGCCCTGTAGTGGATTCCTCCCCTACAAACGCTGTTTGTCGCTGAGTAGCCGACCCTCTTCGAATTCCCCAGCCTGCGCCTACAGCGCCGCCGCCTGATGTAGCGGGGGTCAACTATCAACCCACGCCTACCCCCGCCTTATAAGACCTCACCCCGCGGTGACCACCCCCTCTTTCTACCTACTGCCACCAGCAAGCAACACCTCCTCTTCCTCAGCTCCAGCCTGGCGGCTCCCGCTCACGCCGGCGACCTTGGCGTCCCTCAAGCTGCTTGCCCTCCTCTGGGCACCCTCACCAACCAGCTCTCTCTACTCAACGCTTGTAACCATGCAGCCTACCCAGTACGAAGCCGCATTGTACATCCAATACAATATGTATAGAGCACATTCTGAGTTTCCTTTCTCCAACCCATCCTGAGTGTGAACCAATATCTCATCACCCTACAGCCCCAGCTTATTTCACCTGAAGATTAACTACCTTAATGCTAACTTAACCTAACCTAAACCTATTCTATCCTAACCTAAATCTAACCTAACATATCCTAACCTAACCTCAACCTCCCTAAATAGTTTTAGGGTGGTTTAATCTTTAGGTGAAATAAGTTGGGGCGATGATTCTTCAGGTGACCCAAATTAAATCATAAAAAAAATACTACTACCACTAATAATAATAATAAATAAATAAAAAAACGAAAAAATAAATCAAGAGTGAGAAACGATATACATTATGTATGTTGTGTTGTCAAAGTAAGAGAAACAATTGAGACCCTGCAGTTGTGTGTAAATGAGGCAGAAAGTCAGATGAGCGACCTGGGACTTGGTCACAATTTTCGTGAAGCCAAATGGCAGCAGGGTCTACCATTAGACAACACATTATGCTTCCAACATTTTCCCAGGCGGTACTGTGGGGTATGAGATGTTTGTGTCCACACTCAGGATGGGATGGAGAAAGGAAACTCACAATGTTCTCTCTATATACATGTTGTATTGGATGTACAATGCAGCTTGGTGCTGGGAAGGCAGCATGGTTACAAGCGTGATGTAGAGAGAGCTGGTTGGTGAGGATGCTCACAGGAGGACCAGCTTGTGGGTCGCCATGCTCGCCGGCGGGAGCGAGGACCGCCAGGCCCTTAATGCCAAGTAAATTCATGACGTCGCGTTGAAGCGTGGTGTAACATACAATGCAAGTTTTATTCTGCTGATGATTTTGGTATGTTTAAATAGTCCATTAAGATTATGTTTTACCTCTCAGTTATCATGAAGTAATTGTTAATAAAGCTTATAGTTTACAATAAAAAAAAATCATCGTAAAAATTTTACCGTCACAACTCCAAGTTATATGCTGTTATTGGAACTCATGTGTCATGCACTGGTGCGAAGGCGCAGTAAAATAGCAGCCAAGCAGCGCTTGAGTGTTTGGTACAGGAGCACAGGCCGAGTGGCTGCCTCAGCTGACATGTCGATACGTATTGTACTGTACTCATAATTATACTTATGAATTTTCGAGACTTCACGGACGATCAAACATATTTGCTCCCTGAGTAATGAGTGCCATTGACAACTGCTCATGACAGGTAAGGTGTAGTTGGTTTTATATTGATATTTTTCGAGTATTTTAACCAACGATATTATTTGTTCAAAGTGGGTAGGGCTTTAAAAGAGAGGGAAAATGTGGGGAAAAATACTCAAAATAACACCAAACAAACCTTAGAAAACCTTACCTAATGTTTCCTAACTTGTAAAAATGTTAAGACTTACTTTAGATTTAATGGATCCCTCCTCATCTGAACACCGAAAACACCAGAACATAAAACCTAATACACCATCACCTAAATACCGAAAACATAATTATTTTACTTTTTACTTTTATCCTCTTCGCCACTGATCGGCTTGTTAGCCGCTTGGGCGATCGGTCACGACTCTTTTCCTTTATATTCTTCACCAAAAGGTCGGCTCGCTAGCCGCCCGGGCGATCGGTCACGTCTCTGTCACGCACTGTTGGCAAATACTGGGCATGCACCGGCTCCTGAATGTACCTGAACCCGCTCCAGTGTTGGTCAAGTCTTCTCTTGAAAGAGCTCACACTCGGTGCCGTCACAACACTTTCTGGTAGATTGTTCCAAGAGTTTACAACCCTCACTCCGAAAAAGTTTGCCCTCACGGTTTTCCGGACTTGCGGCTTCTTCAATCTTGAGCTGTGACCCCTTGTGGGGCGAGCGTCCGCCAGCTCCAAGTAAGGACACTCAACTGAGTAGTGCCCCCTGAGATGGTAAGCAATTTATAGTTTGGGGACCTTTAAAAGGTTAAGAAACGTAAGATTTTTTTTTATTCCACATTTTCCCTCTACTTCAAAGTCCTGCCCACTTTAAACAAATAATGGTAATTTTTTTGAAACGGAAATGCTATGGAAAAAGTGTGGTAAATTTGCATAAGTGCACACAACTCTGTTAGAAAGTAAAAAATATGTTTTTCTAGTGTATTTATGTTTGTTTAGATCGGTTATGACCTTCATTTCCGTCGGAAATTGGCCGGATGTTTTTGGGTGGGGCGTTTTCCGACAAAAAGTATGGCTAAGTGGTTACAAAAATACACAAAAAACACGAGAAAAACAAAAACTTGACCTAACCTAACCTAACTGATTCTCACCATATGATGGAATCACTTATTTCTTACCTTATTGGCCTGGTTTTTGTTCGTCTTGGATTCTGAGATTAGTACGGGTTGCTAATCCTCATCGAAATTCAAATTAAATTCCAACCATGGAAGTCTATGATGGGTGTCACCTCCATTATATGGAGTTAATTGCGTGCTAAAAAAAAACGAACAAGCAACAGCATTTTTTAAATCTCATGGTGTTCCCCCGACCTCAGTAAAGATTCTAAACCAAAATAAGGTAAGAAAGAATAGTGATTTCCTCACATGGTGAGAGTCTGGTTATGTAAAAACACAGTGAGAGTTAGGTCAGGTCAGGTCAGGTCAGGTCAGGTGAGATGTAAACAAATCATGGAGATACTTTTGACTGACCAAATCTAATAATATTGAACAATTAATATCTCGCTTATCCATAATTTCCGGTGGAAATATCATAAAAGAAAAATGTCTTAGAATTGTCTAAACATTTCAGAATACATATTAATAACTGTGAAAGAAAGACCGATGTAAAACAGAAGACTTACAATAAATCTAACCCATTTTGACTGACAATTTCAGATATAGGTACAGTATTACACTGGGTGTATTACTTTCATAAAACCATGGAATCTTAAGAATTTTATCTATGCAGTCAATATTTTAGACAATTCTAAGACACTTTTCTTCTATGACGTTTCCCTCGCACACGACTTATATATGCCAAGAAGTTTGGTTAGGAGGTTAGGTTTGGTATTTTTTGGCTCATTTGCGAGGGAAATATCATTGAAAAAAGTGTTTTAGAATTGTCTAAACTATTGATTGGAGTACTCTCACCCCCATCTGACCCCTCACATATGCTAGGGACTGTCAATTGATTGAAAATGTCCAAAAGCGGGCAACCAGACTGGTTCCTGCTCTACGGAACCTAAGCTACCTAGAGAGATTAGAACACCTGCAACTGCCTAGCTTATACTATAAACCTAATTGAAGCAGTAATTATGTATGACTTCACAGCTGCCAAATTTTCATAGAAAAAAAAATCAAATGCAGTAATTTCACAGTTTTATAGCAGACATTGTCATAGATATGGAAAATGTGTTAAAAAGTGGTTATTTCTAAATTAAACGTAACCTAACCTTAGTTGATAAGAAAAACAAGAGGCAGAAGCATTATTAGAAAACTTCACCAACCTAACCAAGGAAACCTACCCAACCTTACCTAACTTCCTAGCCGTGAGGCTCAACTCTTCGGACTCCCCGACATATTAAACAAGAAGAACTTAGTATATGGTGTTAATTTGTGAAAATGAGAGCAGCCACCGTGTCTGTGTAGCTTATAAACATTCTCTGGCGACTGGCATCGATAGGAGATGAATGGTTGTGTACCGCTGCTTCACAAAGTAATGTGCGCCTGACAAAGTAGGGTGCGCTTATTCGTCTAATTGTATACAAAATGAAGCAATTTCCATGAAAATGATTATTATATGAGATCTCATTGATGAAAATATAGTAAGAATATAAAAATCAACAAATAATGCATTGGCTGTGAAGTCCTTGATATTAGCTATCGAAGTGTATAGACATCGCTAAGGGCACTACTTGGTCGAATGTACAGTCCTAGACGAAAGTTCTTGATACAGTCAAGTTGAAGGGTGCAAAGTCTGTTCCTACCTTTACTGGATGTTGGGTCCGCTGTCCAGCCATCGCTCCACCCCTCCCACACACACAAATAAGCACCCAACCAGTTCAACAATCAAGCTCTGATACTTCCATTTCTCAATAATAACTGGAAAAGGATGAAACTGTTTGTTTAATAAATTCACGAAACAATTTACATAATCAAGTTTTACATTACTTGACATAATAAGTTACATCATTATCTTGACATAATGGAGTGTGTGTGTCTTGGTGGCTGGGGTGCACAACGATAATACAGTACTGTATTAGAATCCTCTAAGCTGTATTGTCCCTCAGAATGGTAGCCAGAAAACAAAACATGAATGAGAGGAATAATGTAGTTCATAAGAGAATGTTTTACCACCCTCCGTGATAATGGCTTATACACGTAACCTTGGCTTGAGCCCTACAATGGATGACATGATGGGAGTATTGCCGACCTGTGGTGTAATGGTCAGCATGCTCGCCTCGCAAGCGGGGGGGACCTGGGTTCGATCCCTGGGCAGGGTGAAACTATACTGGTAGGCAAGTTTCTTTATGCCATATGCCTCTGTCTACCCAGCAGTAATTGGGGACCTGGATGTTAATCGATTTGCGGATTGTATTCCGGGGTAATGGTTAACCAGTGCAGTTGGCGAGTTGTTCGGTCTTCTCGGACTATTCCTTGACACTGGGTCATGCAGCTTGTTAACTTAGGGTGTGGTTGTTGTGTTGGCGACAGCTTCTCCACCTTAAACAAATTCATGCTTAGGTGGCCCTTTGGCTGGCCCATCCTCATTACACGAGGGACAACCATTATTATAGCTGACATATGAGCAACACGATTAATATAAAAGTGTGCCACAACAAGAAGTAGGTCACAACACCATTGATTAGGGTTGGGTGGAAAAATAAGGTATAAGCAGCATGACCATATAGTATTTTATATTAGTTATACAGTGTAGGTAACAATAAATGTTGCCTAGCTAATGTTATATACACTCAATGTCTTTGTAAACATTTACAGTTAAAAAAAGGGAAAATAATAATTCAAACAATCTATTCTTTAGATTACAGAAATTGTTCTTACATTGTCACCAAAATTATTCATTCAGTAGCCAACAGTGTGTAACAGAGACGTGACCAACCGTCCAAGTGGCTAACTAGCCGATCAGTGGCGAAGAGGATAAAAGTAAAAGTAAAAGTGTGAAAGTAAAACTTTATCCAGATAAATAATGGTTCCATAATGGTTCCAGTGGTCTTGTTTGCTGCAGCTAGTGTTGGGTTGGTATCTACATTATTGAAAGCACTACATACCTACTGTATAGGTCCCTGTACCTCTCTAGTCCGGCATTCTGTGGTCCGGAAACTCCCGTGGTTCGGCACGGTTTTAGTTTGTCCAATAGGTAGATAGGCAGCTTTTTTTTATTATTTTTTTATTTTTTTACTTATCTGCATTTTTATTATTATTACAGGAGTATTAAATTTTTGCCCCTCAGGCTCCAATGTGGGTCAGTGACCTATGCCAGGGTGGGCTAATCCCCTTAAAAAAAAAACAACACCAAAGCCTTGGGAGATTACGGTTTGTTTACATCCAGCAGTTCGGCTGCTCTGTCTCTCTCTGCTTGTCTATACAGAGTACAACATTTAACCCTTCAATATATATGAGCAGTAAATAAGTGTTGCTTTCATATTCTTATGTAGAGAAATGACGATATGTTTTCACATGTGCGCACTTACATACGCACACTCACTTTTTTTCTTTACCATTAATGGTTAGCTACTTATATTGTTCCATTTATTACATTAAATAACATTACTTCAAACAAGCATATTAATTTTTTTTACATTAATTTTACTACAGCTACAATCAGGGTCTTATTTTCTTCAGTTTTATATGTAGAACCAATCAGTCACTGGTTTTGTAATCAACGAAAAAAATGCTGTCTCATTTCCTTGTGTGTTTTAATATTCTACGTATTATTAATGAATTGTATTGCCCATTTTACACACATAAACATTAATTCAATCAAAAAGACATTCAGTAATAAACAATAATGAATCTTTTGTACATAAGAGAAATGACGCTTTTTACATGATTGTGCACATTGTCTGAACGTTGGTGGGCCATTCAAACACGTCGAAATTCAAGTTTCCGCCGTCAAAATTTTAATTTTTTTTGTTTTTTTTTGTGTTCAAATAAAAAATGGCGAATTAAAAACTCGCAAAATTTGAGAAGGTACTGTATGACATTTAACCCTTCAATATGTCTTCAAAGAGACCATGAA